TTACACATATTTTCTCCTTCTTATCTTTGAAATCATATGGACCAACAGGACCAGCAAGGTTGCCTTGGTTCCTGAAGACAGAGTATCTTCTTTATACCCTTTGAAACCAAAATTCTCAGGAAACTAGATCAAGCCTATAAGAGTTTCCAACTTTTGTTTGAAAAACACAGTCATAGTGTGCTTGGTGGTGGGCCGGAAGCTGCTCAGGCTGAGCTTTCAGCAGGGCCACTTCTCTGGGTTTAGGATCTAATTCTGGGCTCTACTGGCCCACAGATGTGATCTAGTCAGTGTACCTAGAGGGGTTCTAGGACATATCATTGTTCTCAGGGATATATGCTGATTAGACTCAGGAGACACTATTTACAATGAGAAATAGAACCATTGAACCAGACGCAGCGGTGCTCGCTTGTAATTGCAGTGACTTGGGAAGCTGAGGCAAGAGGGTCTGAAGTTTAAGATTGGCTCAACAACTTAGTGATACCTTGTCTCAAAATTTTAAAAAAGGGCTGGGGATGAAGCTCCATGGTCAGTCACCTCTGGGTTCTATCCCTAATACTGGGGGTAGGGGAAAGAAGAAAGGATCGTTGTCTAGACCCTGAAGCTTGGCTTCCAGGGCTTCTCCTCAGCCAAAAGATCGAAAGTCTGAGGGAAAGCAGATTAGCCTGAAAGTTACCCATAGCAGGTGGGATTTCATAATATTTGATAGATGGTTAAAATTTGAGAACTGCTTCTGTCATGTACAACTTCTTAGGTTCATGTCTCCCAAGAAGTGAGTTAGGATCACTTTTTCTGTCCTCCAAGTTAATTATATTAAGCTGAGGCATTAGAGTTGCCCATTGATTGTTCAGGTCACACATTTTCTAAGAATCCCTAACCTTGATGGAATCGGGTTTGTAAAATTCGTCAGTCATCTATTTTCCAGCCATCAAGGTTGGCTAGATCCCTCGTTTTGTTTCTCACATTTAAATCTTCCCTTGCTCACTGAGGGCTGGTGGCCTGCAGTGCTAAGGTGGCTTAGCCATCCACTGGCCACCTCAGTGTTCTTTGCATAACGAAAAAAAGATGAGTAAACCAGGAGTCGGGGAACTGGATGCACAAGCCTCATCTTGGCAGGTCATGTTCCTCTTGCCTTTAGCCCTTCCTCAGTTGATTTCTGGGGTCCCTTTTCTTTCCCAAATTCTCCCATCTTGAGGGGGTTAGGGGGAGGCTGGGTTTCTCTCTCTGTAATACAGCCTCATTTTTTCAGATCAGGACCGCCTGGATAAAGAAATAGAAAAACTCCGGAAACAACTTAAAGTGAAGGTCAACCGCCTCTTTGAGGCCCAAGGTATTGCCCTGGGGGACCTGGAACCAGGAGGGGAGGGAACCATCAGTCACACTTGGAAGGACAGGATGGGAAGCCCCTCATAGAAGGACAGTGATGGGAGCTTCATGTGCTGAAGTAGTGGTTGTAGCCACCCAGAGATAAAATGGATAGGGAGGTTTGGGGGTCTTTTAACTCTTGTCATAGCTTCTTTTCCAGGCACCAGAAACTGCCTGGGGTGGTGTCATATCATATGCCAGCACTTGATGTAGGGACCATGATAATTCTGACCGAGATAACTCAGGTGGTAGGCTGGGGCTGGGGGGTCAGCGGTAGAGCGCTTGCCTGGCACATGTGACACACTGGATTCGATCCTTAGCACCACATAAAAATAAGTAAACAAAATAAAGGCCTGTTGATGTACAACTAAAAAAATCAGTTAATTAATTATTATTATTATTTTTTTAAAGCTCAGGTGGTGAAGGTCAGAACTAAAATCCTAGGTAAACCTAAGCATTTCTGTGATGGGGTCTGGCATAAATCTGTAGTTCTGTAGGCAGCAGCTGTGACTTTGCAGGTTCTTGAGGCCCTGGAGCTGTGTTGCTGTGCATCGTCTAGTGTGCTGCAGAACTGGAGGCCCATCCTGTCAGACAGGCTGTTTGGCAGCATTAATGCAGAGTTAGCCGCTTTCCTGGGCCTGACTCCAGAGCCAGCAGTAGGTTGGGCAGCAGGAAGCACAACTTGCTCATGAATTCTTCTCCCCCCAGGCAAACCGGAGCTGAAGGGTTTTAATCTGAATCCTCTCAACCAGGATGAGCTTAAAGCTCTCAAGGTCATCTTGAAAGGATAAGACTCAAGTACCAAGATGGGGGACCTACGTGGACCAGCATCAGACCCTCCAACCTTGAAACCTGCAAGGACAGGATCAGCCCTGTAAGGGCACAGGTGTCAAAAATATGGCTGTGGCTCCTCTATGAAGCCTCTGTCTGCAGCACTTGGCTGCTGTGGGATCCCTCAGCTTGTCCCTCTCTACTGTCTGACCACTGAGGCTCGGTGGACACAAGACCTATTGACAGGCCCTTCTGCTACCAGTAGGTGTGTGGGGGTGTTGAATGACTGCAGCAGGCACTTCTCAACAATGGCCTGCTGTCCAGATGGGCACTGGTAGGGAGAAGGGAGAGGTGGAGTGCAAGCTCCTGCCAGCATTCCTCTAGAGAGGGAGGCCTTTTCAGGCAGCATGTGTAACAATGGAAGGAAAGCAGGAGGCTGGGCTGGCAGGTGGCTTCTGAATGAAGCTCGGACTCTGTTCTTCACTGCCATCCATGAGGCAGACCCACGTTTCCCCCACCTCCAGTTTTGTCCTTCCTGCTGGCTTTCTGGAGCAGGTGCTGCTTATCAAGCCCCACAGCTGCTCTCAGTGGGGCCTTGCAGAATGCTTTAGGGAGGGCTTCCCTCCTAGCTCATATTCATATCTAGTGCCTCTGAAAGCTTTTAAAGGCAGTGGTGCTGCTCAGTCTTGGCTTCTTCCTGGCCTGAGATGCTAGGATAGCTGTGCTGTGAGGACAGAATTGTCCTTTGTGTTTATTGAAGGATCAATAAATGTTAGCTACACAAACAAGTAGTTTCTAGTTGTCACTTCATTCAGTCCTTCACTGAGGACATAGCATTCCTTTTAAAATATAATTTATGAAGGGAGGAGGCCCTTCCCTTAAAATGATACCAGGCTCAAACAGGTAACAAGTAACAAATGAGGTGTTGCACCTCACATGGTCCCCTCGCTCCACTTGGCCCCAAATGATGGAAGAACATGGGCCAGTATGGCCAGATCATAAGACTTCCAAGAGGAGCTAGAAATCAGGTGGTTAGGTTGAATCTCCTATCTTTTAAATATTGCTGACCAAATGTTTAGAAACTTGAGTTTCAGTCAGGTAAAACACCTTATGGAAGCCAAATCTGACCCAGACCTGCAATTCACATCTCTGTGTAGAAATCCCTGTTTTCCTTGTAATAACCCTGAGAAGTAGGAGGTGGCGTCGAACAAGCTCCACGTCTGTCCACAGGGGACTAGTCAGAGGAGTGAGTAGCTCTAGAATAGACAGCCGCATGGCCATGAGCAAGGAGAGGGAGCTTGGACCCTAAGGTAGAAAAAGTTCTAAGCTACACTGACAAAAGCAAGAGGCAGAACAGGTGTGTCCAGCTGTGCGTCGACACTATGTGGTTCCCTCAAGGAGAAACAAGGGTGGGAGGGAAGGTGTCACTGTTTACCTTTTTTTGTAGATTTTGAACTTTATGTAAATATATTGCATATTTTAAAATAGAAATGTAAAGGTAGGAATTGCAGAATTAACTTTGGTATATGCCGTCTGGTATGACTATCTGGCTTACAGTGTCCCCTTTGGAACCTTGCTCCTGCTTGCCTGGTGGGTGGGTGCCCCAAAGAGCCAATCAGATTCTTTTTCCTAGAAACAGGAAACCTGGAGCCCATGCCTTGAGTTACACAGCCTTGCCACACAGGGATGAAGGGAGGTTCCCTCCTCTGGAGGCAGAAGGTCCAATGCTGGGTTCTTGGCCTTTCCAAGGCCAGTTGGCTCACTTTTTGAATTGCTGTTATTTTTCTTCCCCACATTTGCAGTCAGAACAACCCAGAAATGGAGAGTTAGATGGAGCCACCTGGATCCCTGGGTAGGTAGGTCCCCATGGAGCAGTTAGCCTGTCAGTCAAGGTTGTTGTAACCCCTCTGAAACCAAGAATAGAATTTGGACTGGAATAGCGAAGGCAGAGGTGGGTAGGGATGCAGAATATTTTACTTGTACCCAGTTCCCCAGGCAATCTTGTTTACCCACCCAAGGATTTCTGGATTTGAAAACTCAGCTCCCAACTCAAATAGGAAGCCCCAGATAGGTGCCTAAGGCACCTAGATGACAGACAAAAGCATTTTGGGGTGAAGGGGTACTGGAGATTGCACCCAGGGTGCATGATCACTGAGAAGCATCCTCAGCCCTTTTTATTTTGAGATGGTCTTGGATAAGTTGCTTATGGCCTCACTTAGTTGCCGAGGCTGGCTTTGAACTCACAATCCTCCTGCCTCAGCTTCTTAAGCCACTGGGATTACAGACATGTGTCACCACTCCCAGCCACAAATGCATTTTTGTAGAGACACTAAGCAGCTTTACCTTCCCAACCCTCACCTTTTTCATCTGAAAAATGAGCATACTGGCTTTCAGATGGTGACCAGGGAAATCCATGGGTTCCACTGAGAAGCAAGGTCATTGTGTTGCAAAAAGGAGGGCTCAGCGTTTCCCCAGACACCTAGTAAACACAGTCTAATAATTGCTTGCTTTGCAAGAACAGTTTAAAGACAAATTCCCTGGAATCTGAACTCTTGATCCAAGGGATCCTTCCAGCATGATCTGAGAGACACCAAAATACCAAAGCCAGCCAAGCCTGGTGGTGCACACCTGTAATGCCAGCTACTTGGGAAATGGAGGCAGGAGCATTGCAAGTTCAAGACCAACTTTGGCAACTTAAATAGACCCTGTCTCAAAATTAGAAAATAAAGGACTGGGGATGTACTCAGTGATAGAGCACCCCAGGTTCAAGCCCCAATACTGCCCCATAAAAAAAAAAAAAAGCCAAAGTTCAGTGAACCTGGCTGCAACCAACAGCCTCCCCTGAGCCAGACCCAGTGCCCAGTGACTTTCCTCCAAGTAAGGCCTGTGCTCATTTATTAGATGTGATCTGTCTAGGGTAGCAGAACTTGCTGCACTTGTCTTCTTTGGGTCCATTCACCAAGCCAGTCTGTCAAGGTTAAAGCCCCTCCAGTCCCAGGGATTGGCTGTCTCCTGGTGCAAAGAAGCTGGAGGGTGGGGGTAGGGATCCTAGGGGCCCATCCAAGCAGCAAGCAGAGGCTGCTTAGCCAGCAAAGCTGCTGCCAAGCTGGAGGGAGGGAGAGAGGGAGGGGAAAGGCCGCGAGGTACCACTGTGCTGGAATCTGGGGTGGCACCTTGCAGGGCCTCTTGGCTCCCCATGGCAGCTGGGGTCAGCTGGATGCTTTCTTCTGGGCTTGGAGAGAGCGGAACAGCTGCCTCAGCTGTTTTTTCCGATCGTTGACACAGCCTGGAAGGGAAGTGAGGTGTTGGCTGGGATGCTGTTCTTGGGGGCAGTAGAGGGTCCCATGAACCCATTAGGAGGGAAGAGGGGACAGCAGGAGTTGTGTAGCCACACGTGGCCAGGGTTTGCATCCTGGCTCCACTCCTGAGCTGCCAGGGCCCTCAAGCGGTCATTTACCTCTGTGAACATCAGTTTCCTCAGTCAGGGCAATACCACCCACCTTGCAGAGAGAACATAAGGACCCTGCAGCAAGAGCTGAGGTTGGCTGACCTCCAGCCGGGTGCTGCAGGTGTCATACACGCATAAACATCTTAAACCCTCACAGGGCCATGTGCCCCAGCTCACACAAGTGGCCCCGTGGGGACTTGAACCCAGGCTCTCTGGTGCTGGTACGAAGCTCATAACCGCTGTCCCACCCCTGCTCACTTTAGTCCTGCTGTTGCTCAGTGAAGATGCATAAAGCTAGCACAGCATCTGAAGCCCAGGAAATGCTGGCTTTCTTGCCCTACCCAGCCTGTGTGCCAGGCACAATTGGCTAAGAGATGAGTTGTCCCCACAAGTGGCCCCTGGCTCACCAAAATGTGTCCCTGGGCAGTCCATGCCAAGGCCACCTCCCAGCATGTTCATGGCGAGGCCTGTTTCTGCCTGCTTTCACAGCTGATCCTTAAGGCACCTCCACAGTCATTTAATCTGTGCCAGGCATATTGATGGCACTCATCAGTGCTGCCTGAATGGCTTGGCCATAGTACTGACCTGGAGGTACCTGCCATCTTAGCACTCAAACCCCTGCCCGTCATCAAGGCCTCCCTGAGCTGAGAGCCCACTATGTCTATCTGGCCTTAGGATTTTCCAAAGTGAGTCCCCTGGAACCCTAGCTTTAACTGTCTGTCACTGGCTCGTTCATCATGCCAAATCTTCGTGTCCAGTGCAAACCCCTTTACAAGTTGCAGACTGATCTCTTATCTGCTGACCTTGTCGTCCAGATATCCCTGAGCACATCCCTAACTCAGTCCTCAATTATCTTCCTCCTGCCCCCAACCCCCACCTCCTGTGTTTACCACCACCCACCCAAATACTCAACTGGAAACTTAGAATAATTCTAGAGACTTTTAAAACAGTGGCTCTCTACTTGCACTGAGTCATTGGGAGCTTTTTAAAACGTCAATGCCCAGTCCGACCATGTCTTTATTTCTGATAGGCATATTTTTTAAAGTTCCCAGGTGGTTCTGATGTGCCACTGAGATGAAGAAGCACTGTGCCCTCTCTGGGCTACCCAAACAGGTGCCCAGGAGCCAGCAGCACTGGTATTGGGAGTGTTTTGCCCACAGAGATGGCTGCGATTTTCCCCATTGCTACACATACCTCTGTGAGGTGACTGCCACTCCTCTCATCGAGAGGGGGTCTGTTTCCTCACTCTGCAATTCTGGGATTCTAGCAAATCAAATTGAGCAATGGATGGCAGCAGAATGCCAGTGTGGGACGTCCGAGCCTCTGTCTCAAGAGGCTTTACCTTGTCTTCTCTGGGAACCCTGGGACTACCAGGGGAAGAAGCCAGGGACAGGCTGTTGGCCACATGAAGGAGGCCCAGCTGACAGCTAGTATCAACCCTCAATTGTGATAATGACGTTCTCCTGGGCCATTGTGTCCCAATAAAGCTGCCAGGGGCCTGCAACCCATGAGTCACCCCAGGAGAGACTTGAAGAATCATGAAGAAATAGTCATTTGAAGCCGCTGGGTTTGAGGAGGGCTGGTGACAGCATAGTTAACAGAGCATCACCTGAGAGCCTGTCAAAAATGCAGCTCTCAGGCCCCAGCCCTTACTGCATCCTAATACACATTTTAACAAGATTCCCAGGCATTACAGTCTCCACCAACAAGGCAGTTGGGGCTCCATGTGGAAACGCTGATCACAAGCCCCCTCATCTTTGCCTTCATCAAAGCAAACTGTTCCAAACTTGTAGCTGGGGTGGCCATGTGACCCAGTTCTGGCCATTAAGATGCCTTACAGTTCCCTGGAAGGGCTTCCCTTTTGAAATACGAAGTTGATGCCTTTAGGACTTTTCTGTCTTCCCTCCTGGGACAAGGCACACAGTGTCTGGAGTTGGTGCAGCCGTTTTTGCAACCGTAAGACAATAACTATGAACACCAGACCAACTGGTTAGTATGGCAAAGAAAGAAGAAAGAGCTGGGTCCTCAGGGTATCACACAGCCATGTGTCAGCCCTGTGTGGCCTACCCAAGACTTCCTGTGGCTCAGACAAGCCAGCCCGACTCTATTAGTTGGCTTTTTTAGTTGCATGCAGCCAAACCTGATCCTAAGTCCTACCAACCCTAAAAAAGATACAAAGTTTCATCAAAAAAGAAAAAAGCCACCATGAAACAAATTTAAAAACAAATGACAAACCCAGGGAAATCTTTATGGTAAGTTTGACACAGGGGTAATGTCTCCAACACATTAATATCCAAAGCTTTTATAAATTGAAAAAAAAAAGCTATAAGCAACCCATAGAAAAATAAAGAGCATGGATAGCTTACAAAAGAAGAACTGCAAATTTAAGATACTGAAACCTCACCGGGATCAACGGAGTGCACATAAAACAACAATGTGCCACTGCTTTTTACCTATCAATTGAGTTGGCGGAGACTTTTTTTCTAAATTACAAACTGGCAAATTGGCGTGATCTTTCTGGAAAGCAGTTCAGTTGTAATACGTTCATTCCTTTGGCCCTGTAAGTCTGCTTCTAGGAATCTGCCTTAAGGTAATAGCCAGAATTTCAGTTGGGTTATGGGAGAGGAGTCCATTATGATATTATAAAAGTAAAAAGTTAGAATGTGCCAAATGGCCAATCAGAAGAGACGGCTTGGTGAATTTGGGCACACACGCAAACTCAAGTATTTCGCAGCTGTATGGGAATTTTAACTAAGAGGTCAGGAGAGTCCAGCAGTGAATGTTCGGGCCTTGGGGTCACTAGAGTTCAAGTCTGACTCATCACTTAAGACTGAGGCCTCCAGCAACCCATGACCCATCTGGAGCCCATTTCCTCATCTGTAGAACGGTAACAAAACTCACCTAAAGATACAAGAGAATGTGTGTAAAGGGTTTAGTCCAGACCTGGCCAAAAAATTCTTCCAAATGGGAGGTTCTGATTAATATTCTTGAATGGGAGATGCTGGACTCAAAATTCCAGCCCAATGCCAATTTTATAAAAGAAAAAGTATGAATATATGCATTTTTGTTAAACTCGAAGGAAACACGCCAGATTGTTAAAGATGGTTATGTCTGCATGTTTTTTTTAAATTTCCTTCTTTAGTTTTCAAATATTCTACAATGAGTGTGAATATATATATATATATATGTGTGTGTGTGTGTGTGTGTGTGTATTTTTTTTTCCCATACTAAGGATTGAGCCAGGGGTATTATTGAGTGTGAATATATATATGTGTGTGTGTGTGTGTGTGTGTGTATTTTTTTCCCCAGTACTAAGGATTGAGTCAGGGGTATCGTAACCATTAAGCTACACCCCTAGTAGCCCTTTTTATATTTAATTTCAAAGCAGGGTCTAAGTTTCCCCCACTGGCCTTGAACTTGCAATCCTTTTGTCTCAGCCTCTCAAGTCACTAGGATTATAGATGTGCACCTGGCTGTGTGAATAATTTTTGGTCTTTTTTTTTTTTTGGTGGGGAGAGGCTACTAGGGATTGAACTCAGGGGCACTCAACCACTGAGCCACATTCCCAGGCCTATTTTGTATTTTATTTGAGACAAGGTCTCAAATAGTTGCTTAGCGCCTCTCCGTTGCTGAGGCTGGCTTTGAACTCAGGATCCTCCGGTCTCAGCCTCTTGAATCACTGGAATTGCAGGTGTGTGCCACCAATTTTTATAATCAAGAAAAAAATTTCACTTTTTAGAAACTAGCTTAAAGCCAAGGCCTGAGGCCCTTAATTTCTCTTAATGACATTATGCATTTTTCCATTGGTTTTCCACTTAAGCCTTTTGAGATCCGCCTCCTGACAGATCAACAATGCCTCACTGTGTGCCAGACAGTGTTCCAGATGTACACGGGAACTGTTCCCTCTTAATTCCACAGATGAGGACCAGAGAGGTTGACTCCCTTGCCAGGGGTCACAGAGCTGGTGAGGAGCAGACTGATTCAGACATTCCAACTGCTCCTTGACGCTGCCTCTAGACAACCCACCACCTCCTGGCGCAGCCCTGGTGCCCACGCCCCACCTGGCACGACATACCGAGGTGTGTGTTGGTCACGGAGTTTCCCATCCCTGACAGGTCAGCAGCCCCCTCCTCTCTGCTGACAGGGCCATCATTCCACATAAGGTCAAAGCCTCCGACCCGCTTTTCCCTTCCTGTGAGCCTGCACGGGCAGAGACACCAAGGTTAGAGAGGCCAGGACCCAGCCCTCTCTCAACCCCGTGGGTGTCCACCCTGTCAGAAGCCCTTTTTTTGGTCCAACCATTCACTGTCTGTTCCCTGGACCCCACAGTCTCTGAGAGGTTGTCCTCTATTTTTATGCTGAGGTCCCCACACTTGCCCTCAGGAAGATGCACCCAGTTGTGATTTTCAGTTTAAAGTCTGTTTTCCTCCCCAGACCATAAATACCACAAAGCCAGGGACTAGGTCTGCCATCTTCATTACCGTATTCCTAGTATGTGGCCCAGGGTCTGGCACACAATAGAGTCTCAAATGTTTGTTGAATGAATAAGCAATGGTAGGATTAGTGGATGCCTGAGGTTTCTCTGCTCAGCATCCAGTTCACCTTCTTTCAGTCCAGTGGTGCCTCTGCTTTTCTTGAAGAGTCACCCCTCTCTCCCTCACCCCTAGGCCTCGGTGGGGTTGCTCCTACCCCCTGGTCTATCAGAGTTACAGTGATTGGTTCAGGAATGGGCATTCTCACTTCCAGCATTGAGAATTGGCCCTCCAACTTTTGCTGGAATAATGGGAGAAAGCTGATACAGAAGAGTGGGGGTGGGCAGAGAACAAGTGTGTGAGTGTGTTTGTGCAAGAGAGGGAGGGAGACCAACCCACTAACATTGACTAAGTACCTGGATGCACCCATCCCTGAAGCTAACCCTGGATCCTTCCCATTACATAAACATTGTTTTAACAATAAATAGTCTCTTTATTTGGGCAGTTACTGTGAGCTTAGCATTTTGCAATAAATGATCTTAGTAAATTAAAATAATCCGGAGGGACAGTCATTTCCCATTTTACTTATGAGGAAACTGAGGCTCAGAGAGGTGAAGTGATTGGTCCAGCGTCCCATAGTTAGGAAATTTTGAATAAATCCTGCTAGACTGAGTCTCAGAAAGCTGTGGATGGCCTTGCTCCCTTCTGGAGAGGCCGAGTCCTTGGGCCAGGACCTGACCCTGTGTGGACATCCATAAAATGTGGGGCCATCCAAGGGCCTGAGTTCTCTTCCCTGGTGGAGCCCCGGCTGCCTCGGCCAGGGCTGCCTCACCTGGCCTCCATGTCCACCACGTGCAGTGTGTCCTGCAGGAGCCGGGTCTTGAGCTCATAGTCCTCCTGGCTGCTGGCCGTGAGCGACGGGGATGCGTTGACCTCCAGGAGCCACCTGGGGAGGCACGGGAGGGAGAATCTGAGGATTTCCCTGAGGCTAGATGCGGTGCCTGGGGCCACTGTCACTCCACCCAGGCGGCTCCGTCTTTCCCTCTGAGGAAAGGGAGCTTAGAGGAGCGGAGCTGGCCCTGGGCGAGGGGGACCGTGGGGCCCTCCTGCTGGTGATGCGTTTCCTTTTCCAGTGGAGACCTGAGTGCAGGAAGAAGATCCCTTCCAGAGGGACAGTTGGCCACGGCTGACAACTGACCTGCCGGGTCAGGGGCTGGGCAGGCGGGGATGGGGGTGGGAGGTGGCGGGAGACGGCTTGGAGGGGCGTCCGCATCTAAAGGGAGAGCTGTGGGCAGCTGCAGGCAGCATTGCCCCATGAGCCGAGAATTATGAGATCATCTGATTTTTCTAGAAAAGCCCCAAATCCTGATTTGGGGGACACTCTTGATTTTTAGGTAAACATCTCCCAGATTTTGTCAAAAAAATTAAACACAGAAACATTCTGAAGATCAAACCTAAAATACCTGTATCTGCAGGTCCCAAACAGCCCAGGACCTCCAGTTCCCCGGAGCCCACATGGGTCCGGAGGTTTTGTACAGCCTGGTCATTTCACAGACAGGAAGCTGGGGCACAGGAAGAGCAAAGGGCTCCCCCACTGGACAGTGGGGGGCCAGAGACCCCCTTTCTACTCCTCCCAGCTTGTTCCCCCCTCAGTCTACCCTAATGATGCAGCCAGAGCTCGCTGCCAGGGGCAGAGGAGAGAGACCGCTGGGTGCTGGGACTCAGTGTCCCTTTAGCCAGGAGCTGACTCAGGTGTCACTATGCCTGGCTCTGAAAGCCCACAGCACCTCCGGGGTGACCTTGGGCAGGGGAGTGGCCTCCTGCATCCAGCAGTGCTGGTGGGGAGCAGCCCAGCGCGGGCACTTGACTCTGAGCTTCATTTTGCCCTTGACTCGCCGCTGACCTCCCCCTCCCCCAAGCCGACAACCCACGGGTTTCCATGTCCTGTCGTGTCATGTGAGGCCATCGCTCTGGTCCCTGCCAGCTCCAGCTTGTTCTCCTCGCCAGCTCAACCCCCTCCATGGGCAAGAATGCACCACATTCTTGGCAGGAACAGCCACCGTGACAATATTCCCTTACGTGGCACTTCACATCCTCCAAGGGCCAAGACTTCCAGAGGGGAAGTGTTTTGCCGGGTAGGAGGGGAGCACCCCTCACTCAGCCCACCAACAGGACAGGCTTCCCAGAGCCAGCACAAAGCCCGGTGTCCCGCAGACAGCTCATTTGTCCCTCCTAACAACCCTAGAGGTACAGCACAGTGACCAACCCTGTTTTACAGACTGGCAAACTAAGGCACAGAAATAAAGAAGTGTGTCCAAGGTCACACAGCCAGGAAGTGGCCGAGCTGGGCTCCCAGACCAGGGTGCCCGCGTGTAAAGCCAGACCCCAGGCCCAGCCGCCCACTTACGGCTTGAGGTCCTGGTCGATGAGGATGTCGTAGCCATACAGCTCGAAGCAGTGCTTGTCGCTGATGATCACCTTCTGCACACTCTGCAGGCTCTTGATGAAGATGTTGTCCATGTCGCGGAAGAGCGCCTCCACCGCCTCGGGCCCGTGCCTGGACGCCAGGTACTGCCGGAAGCGCTGCAGCATCCACTTGCAGCCCTGGGACCCGGGCAGTGGGGGTTGGCAGAGGAACTTGAGCCAGCGGGACCCGCCTGCCACGACCCTCCTGGGAGCCATCAGCACTACCCTAGGCCTGGGCAAGGGGGGCCCAGCCCTGAGTCCCAGGATTAGGACAGCTAGAGTGTCCCCCCTCGTGGGTGGAGATTCTGATAACCCATAACTGGCTACCCAGGCCCCCAGAGGCCCCTGCCCTGATGGCTGGCACAGGCCCTCTCCCTGGGTCTGCTTTTGAGGGCATCTCAAGGCCTAGGATGGTTAATGGGCTGCTGGTCACAGGGGCGTGTGTGTGCAGTCACCCTGTGTGGGATGGAGGCCCAGGACAGAAAAGAAGGGAGCAGGTGTGAGCTGAGGCTCACTCTCCCGTCACCCTAGATCAGGCCCTTCACTCCCAGAAGCCGGAGCATTCAGCGTTTCAACCTGGCTCTGCAGGTTACTATATAGATGATAGATAGATAGATAACAGATTGACAAAAAGAATGTCTGTATGATACACCAGTCAATGGATTGATCCATAGGAGGTCTCTGTCGGATGGAGCACATTTTCTTTAGGGGTGCATTTTTTTGACCTGCACTTTTAAATATTGAGGTACCTGGTTCATGGACCTCTGTTGTACCATGCCATTTGCAGAGCCCAGGGTGGGCCTGTCCTCGCTGGTGAGCTATGAGCCAAGACAGGCCTGACCTGGGCTCCCTGCCTCTGTCCTTCCCTCCCAACCTCATCCCAGAAGGCTGCCGGGGAGGGTAGAGGCCCAGCTTCTCACCTTCTTTGGGTGGTAGTCCGGAGATGTCTTTTGCACAGCGACATTGGTGAGGTGAACATCTGGCAGAGGTTGGTGGTCAAGGACAAGTGTGGACAGGAAGGACAAGACACCCTCCATAGAACCCCCAGGACTGAACTGAGACGAGTTTGGGAGTTGATGAGGAAAACTACAAAACAGCTTAAAGTTCACATACGTGGGCTGTGGAGCCAGATGGGCCAGGATTCAAATCCGCCTGCCTCTTTACTACCCGTGAGCCCCTGAGCCTGGGGCCCTTGCCCTCTCTGAGCCTTTCTGCCCACCTATTATAGTATGTTGGCTTCACAGGATTATTTGAAGGATCAGATAAAACACTGTATAAAAATGCCTCTTAGCCAGGTGTGGTGGCCCCCGCCTGTAATCCCAGGCACTCGGAAAGCTGAGGCAGGAGAATTGCAAGTTCAAGGCCAGCCTGGGCTACTGAATAAGACCCTGTGTCAAAATAAAATTCTAAAAAGGGTTGAGCATGTAGCTCAGAGGAAGAACACTCCTGGGTCCTGTCCCCGGTCCCCACTCCCAGCAATCACAAGGGCCTCTCACAGGGCCTGGCAGAGCCGATATTATGATGATTTTTTTCAACTCAAGAGAGTTTTTTAACAAGTAGAGACACCAAATGTGGAACAGTCATCTCAGGACACACTGAGCTCCCTGTCACCAAAGGAGTTTGGACTGGGTGGCCACTAGTAGGAATACTAGAGAAGGGATCCAGCATTGGGATGGGGTCAGGTGGCCTTAAAAGGCCCAGCCCTGAGAGTGTGCTTTTGGTATGATCACTTGTCACCTTCAAATGACATCAGTGACACGGTTCACACACATCATCTCATTTGTTCCCAGATACTTCCCATCAAACACGTGAGACTTTGAAGGCCCACAGAAGGCAGTGACAGGCATCTGAGACACCCCTTCCTTGGCACCCTCCCCCAGGGAGCGGGACAGACACCCGAACCTCATGAGATGACCACTATGCGCAGCTCCCTCCAGGACTCATTGGGAAGGAAGAGGCTCTAGGTGGCTGGCTCAAGTCTAGTTCCCCTAGAGCATGTTTCTCCCTGTCTGTCACCTATGGGACAGGGCCGGGTGGCTTCCACCTCTCTGAGAAGGTGGGTGTCCTTGTCAGCATCTTTTTCCTAGAAGGTCATCTTCAGAACTTTTCAAAGATATTTTTTTTCTTTCAAATTTGAGAATTTTCCTGCCTCCACTTCTAAAGAAGGAGCACACGGACCATCACTCCATGGGATGGAGCCCTCAGGCCTGTGTCCAGCTCATTTTCCAAAAGGTTCTGGGGCAATTCAATAGGGTGTGTGTGTGGGGGGGATGTTTGTTAAACAAATGACAAATGCAGCAGGGACTCCTGGATATCCAGGTGCAAAAGAATAAAATAGAACCCCTTTCTCAGACCTTAGACCTACATATAAGAGACAAAACTAAAAATTCTTAGAAGAATATATAGGAGTAAGATGTCCATTGGCCTAGGCAGAGTTTCTTAGATATGACACCAAAAGCACAAGCAATAAAAGAAAAAATAGATAAAATGGACTTTACCAGAATTAAAAATGTTTGTGCTTTAAGGGACATTATCACGACAGTGCTAAGACACCCCACAGATGGGAGAAAGTATTTGCAAATCACATATCTGATGCGGGACCAGCATCCAGAATACATAAAGCATTTTTGCAAATCAACAATAGACAGATCATCCCATTTTTAAAAGAGTGAAAATTTGAATATACAGATCTACAAATGGCCAACAAACCCATATGTGTCATGAGGGAAATGCAGGGTAAAACTACTTCACAACCACGGGGGGCTGCTGTAATCAAGTGGTTAGACGATATTGTGTGTTGGTAGGAGGTGGGGAAATCGGATTCCTTCACAAAATGCTAGTGGAAACGAGAGATTGTGCAGCACTTTGGAAAACAATTTATCAGTTCTTCAAAGGGTTCAACAGAATTACCACGTGGCCAGCAATTCCATTCATAGCCATGTGCTCAAGAGAAATGAGAATAGCCCGTAAAAAAGTTTTGCCTCTCTCTCTACCTCTTTTAGTACCTAGGATGGAACCCGGGGCCTTGCACATGCTAGGCCAGGGCTCTGCCACTGAGCCACACCCCAGCCCTTTTGCTCAACAAGTTCTTGAAGCAGCCTTTTTTCATAATAACCCCAAAGGGGGTCACAACTCCAGTGTCTATCAATAGGTAAATAAAATGCCATGTCCCCTTCATTGGAATAGAATATTATTTGACATCAAAGAGATAGGAAGCTTAATCCCAGCTACTTGGGAGACTGAGGCAGGAGGATGGCAACGTTCAGTCCAGCCTGGGCAACTTAGACCCTGTGTCAAAATAAAATAAAAAGGGCTGGGGAGGCAGCTCAGTGGTACAGCACTTGCTTAGCGTTTGTGAGGCCTGGTTCAATCCATCTCCAGTACTAGAGAGAGAGGGGAAGGTATTGGTACATGTTACAATAAGAAGGAATCTTGAAATCATCATGCCCAATGAAAAAAGGTGGATTTGGACACCAAAGACCACACACGATTGATCCCACTTACATTAAATGTCCAGGACCTTGCACATGCTGGGCGAGTGCTCTGCCATGAGCTACATCCCTGTGTCTAGGAAGATGCATGGAGACAGAAAGCAGTTGCAAAGGGCCGGGAGGGGAGTGGAGGGGGCATGGAGAGTGCTGGCTAGTGCGTGTGCGATTTCTTTGGGGGGAAGATGGAAATATTCTTACTGACTGAGCTGACAGCTGTTTGATTATGATACACACCATTCCTTTGCTTGCTTTATCTGGGTGAATTGCACGCTGTACAAATTATATCTCAATGCTAGATATAGATCTCAGTATATAAAGAAGTTGTAAATAAAGCTCAATTATATCCCAATAAAGCTGTTATTTAAAAAAAAAAAATAGGAACAAGAGGAAACTCAGGAAAAACAAGTTCCTGACGACGGATGCAGGGGAAGGAAGCTCGGCTCCCAGCAAGACCCGCTTCCCTCTGCTCCTTCCTGCAGGGGGGGGGGAAGCAGGGCCTCCCCAGGAGCAGAGGAGGAGTAGGGCTGAGGGAGGAGAGCCAGGGGGCCAGCCTCAGCCCTCCCCTCCACCTGCATCCCCAGATCAAGTCCTGACGGACCCACGAGATGAGTAGCAAGGAGCAAACAAGCCATCAAAATCAATCTGTGAGAGGTGCAGCTGCTGTGAAGTCTTTAGGGGAAGAGAACTTCCCTCGCCTAACGATGACAGTAGAGATGACAGCGGATCTCAATGGACATCGACGGAATCAGCTGAGTGCAAATGGAAACAATCACATCAGGACAAAAATTAAAGGGCAAATCCAATGAGAGACTATGGCCAATGTGACAGCCTAACGTTTCTGCCACATGAAAATCTCCATAAACTGTCAACAGTAAAACGCTATGTCCCTAATCAATAAAGGCTGTGAAAACATAAAAGAGAAACTGTCCCTGGTAGAAGGCCATCTGAGAAAATGCTCAAAAGTTTCTAGTAATAAAAGACACACAGTTTAAAAGGAATGTAAATGAGGGGCATGGAAACTGATGAAATCCTGGGGCAGAAACCTCCCTCCTCATCAAGGCAGTTACACCTTTGGGCTTTTTCATTTTGGAAAATTGATAATTCAGAATAGTTGCAGGATAGCATCACGAAGGCCTGGGGATTCTTCACCCAGTCATGCCCATTGTCTTAGAAATGGCTTTTTAAAATAATTGTCCCCAACAGTGGGGACTGGAGACGAAATGAGTGTGTTGGGGTTGGGGACATAGAGAGCTCTTCTGGGAAGAACCTGGTCAGATGCCCTTGACCCGGGATTTACTCCTTTGTCACATCATCCAAAGGAAAAAAAAAAATACAGTAAAATTGTTGACCAACAAAGTTGTCCCTTTCTCCTAGAAGACAATGTAGGATCGATACTCCAATGTGTAAGTGCAGGGTCAACACTTTCTCAATAGGACCCTAAAGCTCAGGAAGTAATGCCAAGAGTTACTAAATGGGATGGTATCAAATTAAAAGGCTTCTGCACAGCAAAGGAAACAAGAATGTGAAGAGAGCCAGGAATAGTGGCACATACCTGTAATCCTAGCAGCATGGGAGGCTGAGGTAGGAGGATCGCGAGTTCAAAGCCAGCCTCAGTAACTTAGAGAGGCCCCAAGCAACTTAGCGAAAGCTTGTCTCAAAATAAGATATTTTGGGGGTAGGGATATGGCTCAGTTGGTAGAGTGCAGGTCCCACATGCACAAGGCCCTGGGTTCAAACTGTAGCACCACACACAAAGGATATATATATATTTATGTATGTATGTGTGTGTGTGTGTGTGTGTGTGTGTGTGTATATATATATATATATATATATTTTTTTTTTTTAAGGGCTGATGATATGGCTCAGTGGTTAAGCACTGCTAGATTCAATCCCTGGCAACAAACAAAAAGAGAATGTAAAGAGAACCCATAGAATAGGAGAAAAATTTCCCTAGCTACTCTCTGATAGAGGATTAATATCCAGAATATAGGGGCTGGGGCTGTAGCTCAGTGGTAGAGCACTTGCCTAGCATGCGTGAGGCGCTGGGTTTGATCCTCGGCACCACCTTAAAAAAAATAAAATAAAGGTATTCTGTCCATCTATAACTTCAAAAAAGTTTTTTTAAAAAATACAGAATATATAAAGAACTTTAAAAAAACAACTTAACACTGAAGAAAACAAATAACTTAATTAATAAATGGGCAAATGAGCTAAACAGACACTTCTTAAAAGAAGAAATACAAATGGCCAACAAATATATGAACAAATGTTCAACGTCATTAACAACTGGGGAAATGCAAATCAAAACTAGACTGAGATTTCATCACAGCCAGAACGGCAGTCATCAAGAACATGAATAAACTGGGTATGGTGGTGCACGCCTGTAATCCCAGCAGCTGGGGAGGCTGAGGCATGAGGATCAGCCAGCCTCGGTAGAAAGCCAAGGTGCTAAACAACTCAGGGAGACCCTGTCTCTAAATAAATACAAAATAGGGCTGAGGATGTGGCTCAGTGGTCGAGTGCCCCTGAGTTCAATCACCCGCATCCAAAAA